GGGAGGGGGCGGGGAACATATCTAGCCCCTGCCACCCCCCTGACCCCATGTTTCGGCTCTGGCCCTGCTCCCCCTCCCCAACCAAGTCCGGGCCTATTCCCACCCTACCTCCCCTTCCAGTCCGGGCCCGTTACTCCCACCCCTGCGCTCCAGGTCCACCTGGCCCACGTACACTTACCTCCCCTCCCCGCTGCCCTCCCTGCCTCCCAGCTGTTGGCAGGGCCCAGTGCTGGCGACGGGGAGCTGTCACTGTGCCTTCCCTGCCTGCTTTTGTTGGGGCTCAGTAGTGGTGGGGTGGTGGTGGCGTGCTCCCTGCTGTCATGGTGGGTGGGGATGGAGGCCCCTGCTTCTCAACCGGTTGGGAGAGGGGGCAAACGGGCCTGCTCCCCCCACCCTCACCCCTGCCACTTTGGGGTTGGGCCTGATCCCTCCCCTCCTTTGGAGCCATTGTCAGGTTGCTGCCAATGTGCTCCTCCCTTCTCCCTCCTCTTTCCCCTCCCCTCCTCCTGCCTGCTGGCTTTTATCGGGGCCCAGTGGCTCCGAATCCTCCCATGTCCGGGCCACCCCTGCTTCTCACCCTCGGCAAAGCTTGAAGGGAGCGGGGCAGGGGAGGCGAGGCCAGCACTCCCCTGTGCCGTTTTATGTCTAACGCTTGTGGAGCACTCTGGTTGGCTGTTTCAGTCAGCAAGTCAGAGTGCAAAGAAAACGTTACGGACAGACAGACAGACTAAGGGTTTTATAATATTAGAAGCATAGGGGGTAGGGTCACAGGCCAAAGGGCAAATTCCATGCTCACACCTCTGGAGGTGACCCCAAACAATCCTTTAGTCCACTTAGTCCAACCTCAAGCTTCCTCTACCTTTTTCCCTGGGAGTTTCTGGGAGTTGCAGTCCAAATTCAAGAGGAATTTCGAAGTTTATCTTGCTGGGATCCTATGACCCCAGCAGACTTCCTGCCCCTCAGGCAGGGGCTGGACTCGATGATCTTCCAAGGTCCCTTCCAGCCCTAGTGTCTTTGAAATCTATGAAATTAACAGTCAGCACAGCTCTGCAGACTATCCCCCAGTTCGTTCTGCTGTTACACACATTAGATTCACATTACAATAGCATCACACACAAATCTTTATCAAGACAATAAAATATCCTCTTGCTCTCTCTCTAGTCAGAGCTAGTATTGTGTTGTGCATTATCCTTCTGTTCTAAAATTGTGAAAGTTAATCTTTGCTGTCATTGTTGGTTACTTCACACCATCGCTGCTGAGTCACGAGGAAGAAATACAGAATTTCTACATAATAGTTCATTTACTTTTCTCCACAATGTATTTTTTCTCCCTCAGTTATCTTCTTGTGGCAGTGAGTTTCTATTCAAAACCTAAAAAGCTTCTTCATTACTTGCAGTTAAGAACTCAGTGACAAGACCACTCTGCTGGCATATACCTCGCTGTTGGGTAGAGGAACAGAATTGCTCACAGTGGGCACGTCTACACGTGGTATTAATGCAATGCAATAAACTCTGGCACAGTTCACGCTGCAGGTTTTTGCTCCCAGGTGCAGCATTTACATGTGTGCCTGGGACCAAAGCATGCTGAGCCAGGACATCGTAGCTCCGGCTGGCAAGAAGCCCAGGGGATCAGCCTGCCAGCCTGCAGCTGCTCCCCACTGGCTCAACATGCTGCAAAGGGGGCTGGCTGGGGCATGGAGGTGCTAAAGCATGGGGGATAGTCAGCAGGTAGCCCCTGCACTGTAGCACCCTTGTGCCCCAGCCAGCCCCAGTCAGTGCCTACATGTGCATTGTGGCAAAGTAAGTAACTCCACTGTAGGATAGTACTTGTGTCTGGCAGTACTATACTATGGCAGAGTTAATTAATTTACTTTGGCCTAATAGGGTAACATGTATAGACAGTGATACTTTATTGCAGAGCTAATTAGTAAACTTTGCAGTAAAGTGTCTTGTGTAGATGCACCCAGAGTGAGTATGCTTAGTCACTGGGAACACTGTAACTCCCATTCTGGAGGATTGCCACCCCTGAAAATGACTGAGCCAATGGACATTGAAAGTTTTATTTGAAGCTTTAGTCTCACACTGAGTGCAGTGGAAAAGACCAATCCCAGATGCTAGCAATCAGGTTGACATTGCTGCCACTGCCTCTGAGCTGTGCTTATTAAAGCTGGATTGAAAATAATTTTCCAGCGTTGGGAAAATTTGTGAGT